TGTTCTTATACTTTTCCACAAGGTTGTTAGGTGGAAGAAATGATTACGGCCAATATTTCGACCGTCCCTTCGTTTCCAAGGGCCTAAACATGGCACAAATCTTAATAATTGCACACTATCTTATCAAACGCCCACCAACTTTTAGCGTTTCTGACTTTCTGTCAGGAACGCATGGAAAGCACTTACTCGAAAAAAAAGTTCACCCAGGTTTTGTTCGATTTTGCCATAAATGCTCGCCGTCAAGGGCGAGCTTTCTGCAGCCGTAGCAAATAAAGTTGATCAGGTCCTGAAAACGAATCTCTCTAATTTTGAACTTCTCACCCACTCTGCCAGTGATAGGCTCTGAGGGAGATCAATTGAGCATAGGGTATGAGCTTCTGGATGGCAAAGATGGGTCCTTGGAATGGAAGGGTTGTGAACTCACCAAACGCGAAAATACAGTTGTTTTGTCCTATGCCTGGCGAGTTGCGTAATAGTCATCATAAAGCAGTTTCAGTTGACATACTATAGAAGGATAAAAGGTCAATTCTAGTTTGATTCTCCTTTCTAATGCTTTTGGTGGGAATAATCCTCGTGGACTGATATCAGACTTTGCGAATCGAGCTATTCGCTACTAGCGATTCTCTAGCGTCCGCGGTCGCGTTGCGTACCAGCCAATCGTGGCATTCGCTGGCCGCAAAGCGCCACCGCAAACGCTGGCGAATTGTTCAAGTCGCAAAGTCTGACATTGACCTCGCATTTGCTTCCCACGACAATATTAATGGACTTACCGATAGGTGGTGAATATGAAGACGCTTTTTAATAAGCATGGGGGAAATAGTAAGCTGATTGTATGTTATGTTATTGTATGCATGAATGCTCGCCATTAAGGATCGAGGCAGCTGTGTATGTATAGCTGGTGAACTTGCACGCGTCCTGAAAACAAGCCTACCCGAATTCCTTGTAAATTCTGTCAGTGATAAACTACAAAATCAAATAAGCAAGCTGATTAGTTATAATATTGCTAAGCTTATAGGAAAGCTAAAGTAGTCTACCAATTCTTCATCTCGATTTTTTCCCGTTCAGTGGTGAAGCTGGCTCATGAGCCACTCATGGGCTCACTTCCACATGGCTGTGGGACTCTAGAAGACCTGGCTGATTACCAGCTAGCCCCGATAGATGTCGTGAACTGTAGATGGCCATCATCTTTTACCATGACCTAACATGGAATGGGACAGCTGTAAAATTGAGGCCTGTTGGCCTTTGCTCACCACCGATTTTTCAGCCTGAACCATATCCAGTTCCTTAGTTCGCTCTTCAGCATCTTCCAGCGTTAACTACCGCAGATTTCTGAGGCAAACGATGAAGGCCAGGGCAGTGAGCAGCCTCCCTGGAGTTCTACTGCAGCTTTTGGGGACAGGATTACACCACGCTGCTTAAGGCCTGAATGGCAGACTGAGGAAGTGCAAAATCTCCCTGGTGTAGATAGTTGATTTCAGTCATTTTTCAAGGTTATGTCTTGTAGAAACTGGTGCCATTTAGCTCCCAGCAAATACTTGTTATGGATGGAGGGGACTTCATAAGCCTACTGAAACGGGAAACTCAGCAATTCAAATGAAAATTCCCCAGATTGCGTAAAAAAACTTTCCCCACTCCCCAAAAGATTTCCTTTTCCGTGTCTTTACAGAATACGATTCCACTCCAGCAAAATATTTCGTTTTCTGGAGTCAAAGCGAGACTCTTCCCCCACCACCCCCTCACGCCATCACTGTACCCAACGCGTTATACGATTAATAGTCCTCTTAGGGTACCATCTTGACTTTGTGAACACAAACACATGATCGATAGAAATAGGTAGTGAAAAACTTAAAGGCAGAGTTTACGATGAAAAGTTAGCTCATTGGAAATAAGGGTAGAGGTGGTCAGCGGAACAGAGATGAAGAAGAAACCCTTTGAATAGGCCCGAAACCCAAGAAATGGGACCTCCCTTGCCCTCTGATTTGAGCATTGATGCGACTCTCATCGCTGTGCCTTCTTCGACGAAACCTCTCTCTGCTATTAACACATTGACGACCGCGCGCGTTTTGGCTTTTTTGGCCGTGTGGGACCGGGCCGATTTTGCGAGTGCGACCGCCGCACCTCGGATCCGTGAATTTTTATTGATAACTTTTTAAAGCACCAGTGGTACAAAAACATCTCAGTAACAGTCAATGCGTAGAAGGTAATAGAGTATATAGTGACGAAGTTCCGATTAAAGAACATGTAATGGTAATGAAAAAGGAAACTTTAGTCATTTTATCTGTAGTGGATGCCAAAAGCTCTTTTGATGTGGTTATACCAAGTGAAACATGTATTTTTCTGTCTCTTTAGATTTGCATTTACTTTCACTACCCTTTTTTATTGACGTGTTCATGAGAATAGCATGAAAACTATTAATGAACCAAGCCGCCGGTTTCGGTGAGCTTGGAAAACTTCTTCTAAACTGGAGCATATTTGAACAAACAATGACCTATGTCGTTCACAATAATGTTATGTTCTAATCCATAGAAGAGAGACAAACAATTCGGGAAAAAGCTGCGCATGCCCTAGAAAAAGGGATGATAAGGGTGAGACGCGGTAACGCGTCTCAATGTCCAACGAGGTGCGCAAAGTGAGACGCGTTACCGCGTCTCAATGTCGTCAATGTGTTAATTTTTTTTTTTTATGTTAATCTGCCCACTCAGAGATTTGCGGCTCTGATTAGATATCCGGTGGGCGTACCCGCCCCGCGCAAGAGTAAGCAGCCTCACGATGCGCCGAGGTCATCACTGCCTATTCGCGTCGGCACGTCAAGGAGGCCCGAACCTCGAACCTAGTGGAGACTCTTCTACCTTTAGTTATCAGATGGTGATCCAAACGTTGTTATTCTTAGCGTTGCTTATCTTGAAATTCATATACCAATGACATTCTAGCGTAAATCGTAGGCACACCTAACGTGCACCATCAAATAGCAAATAAATAATAATGAATAAATTAAAATGGAGTAGTTGTAATATGTATGGAGATACTCACTTGGCGTTACTGAAGAATTCTCTGTTCCCGAAGAAGTGATAAGGTCCAAGAGGTACGAATGAGTACTACGTATTGAAGTTATATGCTGCCAACTGTAGGTTTTCTTCTTTACGTGAATATATGTGTTTACATATTTTCCTAAATACAGAGAATTATACTCGCAGCTCAAAAGGCAGTGATCACGATGGCTCGAGGTGGTGCGGTTTTTTTCACGTCAGTGAACGTCATTGGTGGACTAGACCCCTCAGCGCGCTGGGAGTGTGGTCCAGATCGCCGCCTATGACGTCCACAATGACGGTCGATGACGTCATAGAGACTGCAACGCTCTTCGGCCATCGTGACCCCTGCCTTTAAGTTTTATTAGCGAGAACGGAAACTTGTGAAGGACAAACCTGTAAATAGTGTTTAGCACCATAGAATGATGATTATCAATGATGAGTATTGTGATTTTTGACGGATTATTATGGGCATGATTTCTAAAAATGAATTGTTTCCACAAACAGTACGCTCCACAAAGAATGGTACAAAAAAATATGAGCAAAAACTCACCGAAGTTTGGAGATTATTGAAGAGCATCATGCGAGAATTCCGTTTTAGAGCGTCCTTGCTGACCACTGCCTTGCGAGACTCGGCCCATCGAATGACCGCATTCCAGTTGTCTACTGTTTTTAGGAATCGCATGCTTCCAAGAACAAACAGTCCGTGGCTGCAGCGAGTAAGTGCGACGTTCATACGATTGCTGTCACCCAGGAAATCTTTGTCACCACCGTCGCACCTTGTGGTGAGCAGAATGACGATCTCCTTCTCACGATTTTGAAAAGAACCAACTGTGAGAAGATCGACCGAGTGATTCTTGGCAAACTGCTCGAGAAGATGACGCTGCCCTCTGTAGAATGTGACGATCCCGAGGCATTCCGGCTTAATTCCTTTGGCTAATAGGGAGGTGACAATCAATTGGCAGACATCAGCTTCCCTGGTGTTGAAGTTGGTCTCCAGTTCGGTGCGGAGCGGATCGCGTGTTGGTTCAGGAATATCAACGAAAACGAACGGATAACATGGGTCTGGGCAGCGGACATGGTCCAGGAACAAACCACGCTGGTACTCGTCAGCCCCGTCTATGAGATCGCCGTCGTAAAAGAGTTCGTTCGGAAGCTCGTTTAGTCCTGGATGGGCTCGGAATGTGGTCACCATTGAGAGGGAGGGAACGCGTTTATCATCGAGAAGATTCATCATTCCTCGTGCTCCGAGTCTTGCAGGAAGAGCGTGGCGAGCACAGCGAATGTGGGGTTGGAGCTGGAGAGGGTCACCAATGTAGACATGACGAGCATTGAACAGGCGCGATTCGTGATAGCCACGAATTCCGGCTCAGGAATATGCGAAGCGTTGTCCCCGATGACCGTGTGGCAGTCCTGCAGAAGGCCATGGAAGATGCCTCCCTTGTCAGTAGAGTTCAGTAGGGCTGACGTCGTCATACATATGATAGCCGGTTTCCGCAACTTGAACATCAGCTGGACCACTTTGGATGTGATGGCGGAAACCTCCTGCTCGGCCAGACGGTACTCTTTTTGCTCAGACGCGGTCAGATGTAACCCGTTTTCCGGGTTGAATAAGTACTTCTCCAGTAGCTCACGCCCTTTTTTGAAACTTCGACAAGTCCTCAAATCCTCACGCGACAACTGTTCATAAATAATCATCGGGTAGGCGCTTGAGTATGCTATTTATATCGACAGTGGTCGATGGATTACCTTCGATAAGCGAAGTGTCGGACACGTAGCGCAGCACGGACAGGTCTCTGTACTCATCGAGTTTCAGAACGGTGTCGGTGATTTGCGCCACTGCGCCATTTGTGGTGGCAGTGATGATAGAAAAGCCTTTTTGTTTGCGCACAACCCGTGCGGCTATCAAAGCAGCGAACCAGAGTTTTTCCTGAGCCAAATGGTCCTCGAATGGCCACAATTGGACGACGATCATCACATCCTAGTCGGATAGCAGCCACCTGATCTGAAACCAAGTTCGAGGGACTTGCCATCCAAGGAGATTCGTTTTGCTGTTCGGTCAGCATACATGTAGTCGGAACCAGCTATTTTATAGGAGGACAAATTGTTGTAGACCGCATCGAGCACCTGCGCTCCTCGACACTTCGCTGTTTCTCGTGATGTTCTCGAAGAGCTTGTGCTTGGTGAGCATCGGGTACACCTGTTTCTCGTGATGTTCTCGAAGAGCTTGTGCTTGGTGAGCATCGGGTACACTGGCACTGTCCGATTGACACACTGGCGGGCTAGCTTGACACAAATGTCAATGTAGATGGTACCCTTCTCTTTCCAACTGAATTCATTTACCGATTGCATGAGAGAGCGGTGGAGGCGAGCTGAAGAGACGAGTTGGATGTCGAGGGTCCTTCTCTGAGGGTCAAATTTTGTTCTCAGAATGGAGACGCGCACAACAGAAGCAGCACCAACTATCCACAAAAACACAGAGCGATTCGCTGTCCAGCCGACTTCTGACTCCAGGTGCAAAGTGAAGTGGAACCGAATCGGAAAAGCAGTGAGGCTGGGTACTGTAGCTGTCAGTCTCCTTGTGCATTGGTCGTCGTTCATACCTTCGATGGCAAGCAGAGCAGAGCAGCCCACATTGAACAGCGAGGTCATTTTGTGGTGGGCTTCTCGGGGATTCTTGAAGTAGTTTGTGAATCTACCAATTCGGTCATCGATCCAGTCCCTATCGTCACGAGGAATATCGAAAATCTTCAACGGCAGCAGTCCCTCTTGCGGATGGGAAGGGATGATTGGACGGACCAGCTTGCACAGAGCGAGCTGATCTTCCACCGAGGCAGGCGACTCGGAAAAGCGAATCGCTGTGGAGACATTGACCCGAGTATCAGCAAGCACGATGTCATCCTTTTTCATAGTTCGTGATAAGCTCCGTAGAACTCTGGGAGAGACAATTACTGCATCAGGAACACTTTCAAACGCGACTTTGCAGGGGCGAAAACTTGTGTCTTCACCCTCCAATACAAGACCAAAGACGCGATGAGGTGCCGTTGGAGGGGTGACGAAGACGAATTCTCGTGCTCGGAAGAAGTACGGTACGTGCATGTCGAGAGCAGTACTTCGGGGTTTACGTGCCCGGTCAAGAACCGATGACGGTTTGTCGAGGGCTTCCGCCGTTGGTTCTACAGAATACACCCAGACGAAGTCCTTAACGGACACCAGTTGGCTGCTGAAACCACGCGTACACGACTTTATATTCGTGGAAAACTGGTCGAGCACAATGCACTGCAGCTCGGCACGATCGGGGCCGAAAATGAAGAAGTCTTTCGCTTCAATAATGACCGTTTCACTTTGCTCTCGAGACACAACTTGATAAAGAACTGGGGTACTGTGCCAAGGAATTGGAAGAATAGTTGTTGCAATTGAGCCTGAAGGGGTCACTGGTAAATTATTCTGACGCGCCACATAAGTGCCATTCTGGAGCTGGTCAATGATCTTCAACGAATGCCTGCGAAAGTCGACAGCGTCCTGGAGACGCATGAGCTCGAAGATTGGAAGTGGCTGAGTGGAGTTGGGCTGCTGGTGATAACGAGGGAACAGCGACTGTACGAATTCATACGAAAAATAGCCCATATCGGGAATGTGGCGATAAACTTCAAGTGGAAGAGAGCTTGTGACACAGTCCTCGGACAGAATGGACGGACGTTCACGGACAGTAACGTATCGTGCCCAAGGATGCTCGCTTATGAGATGGTGGGTGAAGTTTTTTGGTCTAGATTGTGGGAGTTTGGGAGGAAATATTGGACTCTTCTTCAAGTGTTGGGTGAGTAGCGGCTGAAGCGGGGGAAGGTCGTCCTGGGCGGTTTTCCCACTCCGGGTGTTGCTGTTAGGAGAGCTTGAGCAGAGCGAGCGAGTCGATGAAGTGCTCTGGCTATTGTCATCATCCCAGTATGAAAAGTCTTCCTGTTCCTTGCGACAATAAAGCTTCCTTGGTGGAAGTCGGTTCAAGAGGGTCGGCCTGTCGAACAGCAGATCGTACTCGTCTAAATGAGGTAATGTTCAACAAGATTAATAGGGAATAATAGGGCACATTCCTCGACAACACTGATGGGGTAAATATGTATGGGGTCAGTCCATGATTGATAAGCGGTTTACAGATGGGGCCATATTCAATCCTCCCCCCAGGGGATGCATCCCCCACCCCTGATTCAATCCTCCCCAGTTTTTGGGGGGGGGGGGGCAGGGCGGGACAGAAAAGGGTTGCGTCATAGGGCCACCCATACCCCCAACTTTCTATCCCTCAGACAGTCAGAACAGCCCCTCAGCTAAAAGAGTGCTTCAAGATTGGAGGGTAGCTAGAACTTGAACGTTTGATGGCGGGTCCCATGACGCAGCCCTGTCTCCCCTTCCCCAAAACTAGACGAGGATTGAATCAGAGGAGGGGACGCGTTCTTCTGGGGGAGAGATTGGATGCGGTCCCTGATGACGAAATCTGCTCCTCTATTCTCCCCACAAGTTTCTAACAGAAGGCAGGAGTAGTGAAGTGGCATTGGCGACGCATATCATGCGGACGGTCCCTGGATCAACCCTTGGCTTGTACTCGGTCCTGGCCAATCGGGCCTTCACCCCGAAGGATCGACTTGGTACAGGTTTGCTCAGATATAAAATAGTAGGTGCTCATTGATTTGCCAAAGAAAAAAATGAGAGAAAAGAGGAAAAGGAAAAGAAATCACTGAAAACTTTCTAAGTGGAGGCAAGAGAGTGATCGGCGGAGACGAGAGAGAGCATAACGGGGACGGGAGTACTACGGCGATGGCAGTGCGGGTTACCTGAGGTGATCATGTTGCAAGCAGTGTCAACCGTCCGTTCGCACTATTCGAACGAGGGGGGAGGTCACATTTTGGGGTTGAGCGAGGTTAATGATCTCTGGAGAAGTGCGGGCGGAGGTAGGTAAAAGGGGCTGCCGTTTATTGCCATTAAGACGATTTTTGACGAATTTGGTGAAAGTCCTAGGAGAGTAGGAGAACTGGAAGATTTTCGAGCATTTGCGGCTTCATTATAGCAGTCACCCCCCCCCCCACCCCTCCGCTCAACTGCCGTTTTGGGGAATAGTGTGCGGAGTGGGGGGGAGGCTGTTTCGACTGGTCTCATGGTCAGAATTAAATGCACAGAAACAACCATGATAGTGATAGTTTTCGGGAGGTGGGGGGGGGGGGGGTCGTATTGGGGGAGCCTAATAAGTATCATGGTGGTGAGGGTCGCACTGAGACCGCCTAAAGGGGGGGGGGTCGCAAAATTTTTGAAAAAGTGCAGACGTGACGGTGGACCCTGGTTGCAAGTCCTTGGCCCCTAGCGCTTCTTCTACCAGTTGTGATCAACAAAAGTGACCCTACATATCTGAGGTTTGGATCCAACAACCTTATTTGCGGGAAGGATTGGTTCAGTGGTTCGGTCGCGGAATGTGCCCTCAAAAGGATGCTAGCATACCATCCACAAAAAATGACTCGTCGCTTTTCCTAGATGTTGACTGAGATGGTGATCCACGCTCTGTAAAGCAGATGCACTGACTTAAATCGAACTAATGACCGCTAAATAATCCATATTTTTTCCATAGTGAATAGAAGTGCCCTATTGCGGCAGCACAAATTCTTACTCCCGTCAATGAACCCTCCCATCACCTTCAGTTTCGTTTTTTGCCCCATTACTGCTGGTGCTCGGTAGTCTCGTCGCCCACTTTCCGCCGAAATATCACTTTTGCGCCCGGTGCCACTTATCCCAGAGGTCCTGTTTTTCGAACTCGTCCATTCAAATGCGTAAAAAGTTCCTTTTCGGTTGGTTGCTGGTTGCTCAGTAGCAGAGGAGAACCAGCAAGGCCGCAACATCCCACAATTACCAGTTTTAACTGAGCCCAGACCAGCCAGCTTTTCAGTTTCTTTGGGAATAGCTGCATATTCATCTAGGAATGAACAAATACAAATGCACATCGAATGCCTCACCCTCCCCCCTCCCTCCTCCCCCACCTCTAAGTACGCGTCCAATTGCATCCACGACTCCAACGAGTGACGGGTGTGTGGCGTGCCCCGCAACAACAGACCCAGGCCATTACGCAACTGCTTATCCTCAGACGCTAGGGCTCAGAAGGCTTCAACTCCTCCTCAGCAGGTCTTACTTTTTATTTAGTTTATTCTGTAGACAAATTATTTACAAATTATTTTGGTGCTGAAAAATCGACTCGTAGGGCATAACAAACGCAACCGGGTTCAACGGTAAACTATTAATTCTGAAATTTTAATAAAATAGTCGCACCTGAATTCTTTTTAAACTTTGACAGAATTTTTTTCACGTCCATATTCAGAGGATCAACGGTGATTGAGAAAAAATCCGACCGAAAGGAGATTCTCCCCGGAAGTAGTGAGGACAATAGAGGGTTTGCGAGTTACCTAAAACAAAACATTACCGTAAAAAGTAAAAAAAATACAAACAAAACAACGGACTTTGAAAGGTACGCCCTGGTATTTATCCCGAGTTGCCACTTTACCGACTGTTGCTGTCTACAATCCGTGCGATATTCGGTATAGGAACGGTTCCTGAAAATTGAATAAATGGGTAACGGCCACGGGTCTTACATGAAGACTAAGTGATTAATTAGATATTTATCATTTGATGGATGCATTCAGGCGCTGTTATGACTAGCTCAGATCAATTACAAGCATAAAGAAAGTGAGGCAGATCGACAACAGAGACGGATAGGGTCCGTGTGCTGTCCTCCCCAAGGGGTAACGGGACGAAAATCTCTTTAAATTTTCTCTGTCTTCCCAACTGGGATTGCCCTGATAAAGGGCCTACATTTAATGTATGTATGTAGGTAAAAGTAAACATGCACTGAAAATGAAGAAACTATATCGTTCAAAACAAATAAATTTAAAGGAAACTTTGGGTCAGCTAGCTTGGGGAAAGGATAGCCTACGGCCCATAAAGGCTTTCAAGATAAAATAGTAATGAAAAGATACGATAAAGATACTAATGAATTTTCTAAAGGCAGGGATAAGACCGGTGATAAGAGCGCTTCGTAGTGATGACTGAGCTGACGGCCTGAAAGTGGAAGGAAAGCTAGAGAAATCTTTGGATCGCTGAAATTAAGGCCTTAACCTTCAAAAAGGTCGGATGTGGAACGATGGCGAGGCAGGGCGGTCAAAGAAGACAAAACACGCGAGAGATCACGCCGATATCGAGGTGGGTGGGAAGCGTTGCAACGGGGGTCGATGGTTGCAGGCCCGTAAGGATTAGCGCCCTAACCGCGCAACTTTTGCGGCGAAGCTGAGTGATCTAGTAGGGACCTTACAATTCCCCTCACGTTATCCTTCCCTCAAGTCGTGCTACTCCCGGGGTTTGCTTCAAATGCGACTCCCGTTACCCTTCAAACTTTCAAAGCTCCCTACTTTCTATCCAATAAATGCACATTCATCAGAAGCAAGATCTAGAAAAACAATCTAAAGGAAATATATCAATCGAAATAAGGAGGGACAGGGGAGGACGATACGAAGCAATAAGAAGAAAAGTGGAAAATCATAAAAATGGAAATAATGGATCATTCCGTAGCGTAAGCAAAGTTTTTTTTTTTCAAAGGATTTCACTGAATGCCTATA